TTGGTAGAAAGTCCAGATAGATAATACCAAATGGGCCGAGTATATGAGAGCAAGGTATATGAGACAGAATGTGAATAAAGAAATGATTTATGACTCTCCTATTTGGAAATGGATATGTAGAATAGACTTCACGCCTTTGAACATGTTATTATGAATGAAGATCAGATTACATGGAAAGTTGGTGAATTCTGTCTTAAAAAGGCTTACAACTGTTTTAGGTAGTCAAACCCATCTCCTATTAGTTTTTCTTTCTGCCGGAATAAAAACCAAATTCCTAAGGTTAAGTTATTCCTTTGGAGAGCCCTTTACACCTTTCTACCTTCTTATAATACCCTCAAGAAAATGGGTGTTCAATTGGCCTCTCAATACCTACTTTATAAAAACATGGAAGAGACCAGAGATTTTATTCTATTTCAACGTCATTAGAGCCAAAACATATGGTAATTCTTTGCAGAAGTAGTGGATGGTCCTAAGCCTAGAAGTCAACTAGATCCAAACTCGCACATTATGTAATGGAATCACATACACAAGAGGAAGAATATAAAGGATACCTGAATAGTATTCTCCTGGGCATTTTTTCTAAAAGGGAAAATATTTCTGTATATTGAATTGGTTTGTGCTTACAAAGGTCTAACCCTCTTTATATAGGAAGAGAGTAAAACATATAAGTAAACTTTTATTCTACCACATTTTTCTATTCCTAATATACCAAGAACTAAGCAAACTAGTAAAGATACTAAACTGAATCCCAAAGGGATTCAATTTCCTTCTTTGATCCGGCTTCCTTCTTCTGTCGCCAACACCCCCTCAAGCTGGAGCATGGGAGTTCAACATGCCCAGCTTGGACATCAAAAGATCGAACAAAGCTCGAGGAAGCCGCTGCCATCATTGTCCAAGTGTCATGCAGACACTTCAGTTTTTTTTCAACGGAGACGCCAAGCTTTTCGAATCCGCCGAATAATCAATCGAGTGAAGGAACGCCATTCTTTTCGAACCTTCACCGTTTACGAACAAACAGGGGGAACACCATTCTTTTCGAACACCCTTAACGCCGATTTTTTTACCTCCCGCAAAGGAAAGAGTTGTCCATCTCTGTAGAACAACCCTTGTTGGACAACTTTTTCAAGATTGATGGTTGGGCGTGATTTCTTGACAGCAATGTTCCTCATTGAATGTGTTCATGATATTCTTTAGTGAGGGAGAACAATCAAAGAAAATAAAAAAAATTATAATATCCCGCCGGTAGGCATTATTGTGTATGCCTACCGGCAGGGGACAGAGCGTGTTTGAGGTCTTAAAAATTTTAAACCTGATCCGATATCATGTAAAAATTAACAAGAGGGAAAATATTTATGTATATTGAATTGGCTTGTGCTTACAAAGGTCTAACCCTCTTTATATAGGAAGAGAGTAAAGTATATAAGTAAACTTTTATTCCTACCATATTTCTATTCCTACTATAACAAGAACTAAGCAAACTAGTAAACATACTAAACTGAATCCCAAAGGGATTCAATTTTCTTCTTTGATCCAGCTTCCTTCTTCTGTCGCCAACAAAATCTGGAAGAAATATAATAGAATATATATATATATATATAGACACACACACACACACAACGTTTTAATTATGAGTTTTGATTTTCTCATTTCATTTTAGAACTTTAAATTTTATTTTAAATTTTTTAACTTTTATTTTAAATTTTTTAACTTTTATTTACATTTTGTTTATGTATATTATTGAATTTTTCAAGAAAAGTGATAAAAAAATTAATTTTTCCAATAGTCAAGTGTAAAAGCTACTCATCTTGGTTTTTCATATTTTGGGCTTATTTGGTTATAAGCGGTTGATGACTTTCGACTATTAGCAATTTGTGTTAGCTGTGTTGAATTTAATAGCTGATTAAATCAGCTATTTTAACTAACTATTTTTAATAGTTGTTAACAAAAAAATACCTGACAAATTTAGTTGTTCATAAATGGCAGTATGTAATGGAAATTACATTTTAGGACATGCTTATATATTTGTTAATTGTTGTTTGACTGTAAATAGTTTGCTTTTTTAAATCTTTATACAACACACGCACTAACATTTTTTTTGTCCCAAAAATTTCATGGTTAATTATTTTTTATAGGTATTTGTATTGATCATTTTAGTATTTTATAATGTAATATTCATATCACTATTATTCTATAGATTTTTTTGATGAAATATTTAAACAAAACATTTCTACATCAATTTTGAAATGAATAAAATAAAAAATATATCTAGAATAAGAAGAATAGGAATTTTTTTTCTTAAAAAAGGATAAAATAAGAGAAGAAGTGATCTCCATTCTCTAGAAAACTGCTCCTAAATACTCCCTATTTTGAAAAATTAACTATAGAGTACTTCACATTTTTAAAACATACTCTGAGGTACCCTATGTTTTGAGAAACTAAAAATTGAGTTCCTCACATTTTTAAAATATATCTCGGGTACTTCCAAATATACATTAACTTACCCGTGAGGGACATTCTGTCTCACTCTCCGCCAAAGCCAGTTACACCATTAATTTTAAGAAATAGGGGTTTGGAATTCCAAAAAATAATCTTGGTTCTTATTCTTTAAGGATACAATCTATCCAGTTTAATCGTAGCTTTCGAATTAAACGGAATGTCCCTCACGAGTAAGTTAATATGCATTTAGAGGTACCTCAGGGTATATTTTAAAAATTAGAGTTACCCGACATATAATTTTTCAAAATAGAGGATACCCCGGACTATAGTAAAAATTTGAGGTACCTGGCAGTTAGTTTCTCAAAATAGAGCGTACTCAGGTGCAGTTTTCTGTCCATTCTCGCCATTCTAAAGGCAACAACAAAAGGAGATTAGAATGTCTCAAGGCGAAAGATGTTTGCAAACTCAAAAAACTGTTTCCCGAAAACTTTTTATTGGCAGTTTCACTAATCAAGCCAGCGATTTATGATCAAACAACTAAATATCCACTAAAAAGTCATTTGTCAAACAAAGTCTTTCTTTTCAGATCATAGAGCTAAGTGAAAAATTATTAGCCAAACAATGGCTTTGATTGGTCGATTAGTAAAAAAAGCCAAAACAAAAAAACCGAAAAAAACATCTGAAAAGCTGGATGTTTTCCAAATACAATTAATGTGAGCAACTGTGTTCGATCGATAGGTCCTATTTGAAGAAGAAATCCTTTTTTTACATGAAACTAAAAGAGATCTTATTTTGAATTGTGTTTCTATGATTATAAGATACACATGTGAAATATGGAGTTTTTTTCAATTTTCATGAACTTAAAAGTAGATTCTTTTTGTTGTAAAAAGTTGGGTAATTTACCTAAATATGACTAAAATATAATGACTTTCTCAGTATAGGATCATATGTTTTTATTTCTCAATGTAGGACCATTGGTCATTATCTATTAGTTATTATTCAACTAAATATTCAGTATCACTTGAACAGTATTCTTCTCACTAGTCATTATTAAATCCTATTTAGAGAATAAAAAAGTTTAAGTCCAACATTGGGAAATGACTTATGTTTTAGTCCTATTCAGTTTAAATTTCACTAAAAAATTTATCAAAAAAGTAATCCAACCAAAACTCAACCTTCTATAGTTAAGTTGTAAGCCAAAAAAGATTTTAAATTCTAACAAAACCTAATTGTTTCATGTTGTTTTACAAAAATTCTTAAAATGGATATAAACACAAGGACCACATAAGAATTTAATTACTTTGAAATGAAATATTTACTTTTATTTTGGAATAAAGACTATATATTTTGGAGTGTTATTAGATTTATTTACTCTACTCCAATAAAATTAGAGACCTTATATATGGGGCCCGTGGGGGGGGGGGGGGGGGGGNAAATAATTAATGGCGGAGAACAGCTTCTCTCTCATGCGTAACATGCACACTCCGACGTCTACTGTATGCAATGACAGGTAAACGTATGTATCTATAATCTATGTACTATTGTACTCAGTATAACTTTAATTTTTAGGTCCAAAATAATTCACACTTTTACTAATTCATTGATCATTTTATTGAGTAAAATAAATTATTCTTGTCGACTTTTGTTCTGTAAAACTTTTAATACAGTTTTTAAATATATAATTTATATATTTTTTATATCTTTATGAATTTATAGATAAAATTATTTTTAAAAAAATGATATTTTTGTGCGTGATTCAAAAAATGTAATGATGTGTTAGGGAACATGAATTTAGATTTCAAATTCAGATTTGGCTCAAATCTCATGCTTGAGAAACTTAAAAGTTTTGAATTTGAGTCAAATTTCTCTAATTTATAACACAGATTAATTTAAAATTCATATATATCTTTCTTGTCATTTGAAATTTAAGATTTTAAATTTTAGAAATAAAATATGGAGTATATAAACTGAAATCAAATATTAGTTTTCAAACACTCCCTAGATGAATTGCGGAGGAAAAGATAATTATTACTTCGTATATATCGGTCCATAAAGTGCACCACCAAACGAGAGAGAGAGAGAGGGAGCTATACCTAATTGTATTATGTGTGTATGTTAGGACTTGTAACAACCTTAGCCATATAAATCATTTCACTCTTCTTTATCTTGTCAAAGGTTTAAACATTATTAGTAGTAGTTTTAGTTTAGGTTTACCAACTGGTGGTTGCCGACTCAGACCCCCAACCATTTAACGGAGAACAACCACCGCCACTTCCTCTGTTTCCCCAATTTCTTGTTTTAGACTTTTTAGTGTCTTTCTTGCAAAAGAAAATACTCCTCAAGAAAAAAAAAGATTGGGTTTTTTTCTTTTGTTTTTTAAAGAAGAAGAAATTTCTCGGGTGTTTTTGGTCGTGTGTAGCTTGGATGGACCCCACTGAGAGAAAGTTTGGAATTATTGGAAGGGGTACCTAATTATTTTTTTCTTCTTCTCTTATTTCAAGAGGAAATCCCTTCTTGTCTTCTGTGCTTTCATTTCATAACCCCCCTTTCTTGAAATTCGTTTATTATTATTATAGCTGTTTTTTTAATTAAATTTATCTGGCTGGTGTCATTGTTCAATGATAAGGAGAGGACTTCTGATCTTCTTGGGGGATATATCAGCTTTGTCACCACATGGGAAATCTTCTGTTTTGAGCCAGTTGGTTTCTTAATATATTTTTAAAAATTGTTTCTTTCTTTCTCTCTTGTGCTCTGTCAATCACTCTCTTTGGCTTTCCCCCAATTTCTGGAAAGTCCACCACAACTCAAGATTCTTTTTTTTTTGCCAGGTGATTTCTTGATTTCTTTTGCCCTTTTACACTTTCTCCCCTTGTTTGTGCTTGTGATGATGTAATATTAAGTTGTCTACTTTTGTTGACCATGAGCTTGGAATTTGGATGTTCTATCTTTTTGTGCAGATTCTTGCTCTAGTTTTTCTTGTTTCCCATTTCTAGGTTGTGTGTATAATGGTATCCTATTCAAGAATTTAACAGACAAGAATTGGAAAGAATTTGAAAAATTAAAAAATGTAATTTTTAATCTCTTTTTCTTTCTTTCTGTTGTTGTTGTTGTTGTCTAGGTTTCCTTGCATGTTGGGGGCAACCATGAACAGATTTGGTTTAATTTCTTTCATGGGAGTTTTATTTTGTTGACTATTATCAGTTGAGATTATTACTCAAGTTGAAACTGAAGAATTTATAGATTTTGGTGGAGAAAAAGATATGGCTACTTATTTCCCGGGGTTGACCGACCAGAGAGAAGATCTTCAAATGTCGTTATTGCCAAACGAGAAGCATCAAAATTCGTACGAATCGCCCGGTTTTCAAAACAACTTGATGTATTTGAACCATCCTTCCACTATAGCTTCGTACCCGGATTTACCCTCCTTGTCTGCTTATTCTGCAAAGCCTTTCAATGATCAAAGTGTGGAACAGAATCTTCAGTATCAGGGGTTATCACTTAGTTTGGCAATGCAAGTTCCATCTTCTGTTCAAATCCCACCGTACCATGACCAGTATACAAACCCCGGATTCTCTGCACTAATGGCCACACAAATGATGGGTTCAGAGCAGGGATCACACAATGATGAAACCAAGCGTGTTGAATACGTGTCGTTTGGGTTAGAGGGAGACAACCTGGAGAGGCCAATGAGTCTTAGAGAGATGAATTTTAGTCCACATATACATGATGTTTCAGGGAGCATTTACAATTCTAAGTATCTTAAGGCCACGCAGGAGTTGCTTGAGGAAGTGGTTAGTGTCCATAGATCTCTCAGGAAACCAGACAAAAATAGCGCGCATTCGTTTGGCCAAGATGAAGATGCTGATCTGAAATCATCCAGCTGCTCTGGGAATGGGATGTCTTCAGACGGTCACAAGTCAAGTGACACATCATGCGAACTATCAGCTGCCCAACGACATGATCTTGAGAGCAAGATCACAAAATTGTTCTCCATGTTGGATGAGGTGAGTCAGTTGTTGCTTATTTTCTTGAAGGGAAAACGTTTGGTTGTGCATCCGTTTCAACGAAATAACGAAGAGTGCATTTGGGGTGACTTATTTTCAAAGAATAAGTGTTTTTACCCAAAGAGAAGTGTTTGGCACTTTGGCATGGAAATGAAACAATGACTCTATTATTGAAAGAAAATACTCAATTTTGTGCTTACTTAACTTAACGCACAAAGAGTTGAGCTTCTGAAGGGGAAAAACCACTTTTTACGGCTTAAATGAGAAGCCACTTCTTATAAAAACTTATATCTTAAGTGATCCCAAATAAGTCTGAATATCTTGCAGAATAAACCGATTATGGTTACCAAACAGATCCCAAAAACCTCTTTTAATATTCCTGCTTTTCTGTATATTATATGTATATATAGGTGGATAAGAGGTACAAACAATATTACCAACAGATGCAAGATCTGGTATCCTCCTTTGAAATGATTGTTGGGCTTGGTTCTGCCAAGCCATACACATCACTAGCCCTAAGAACAATTTCTTGTCAGTTCCGTTGCCTGCGGGATGCAATCAAGAAGCAGATTCAAGTTGCACGGCAGAGCTTAGGAGAGGGGCAAGGGGGTAGCAGTCAAGGAGAGAGATTGTACCGCCTGCGTTACGTGGATCAGAAGCTGAGGCAACAAAGGACACTTCATCAGTTTGGTTTGGTGATGAGACAGCCTTGGAGGCCTCAGAGAGGTTTACCAGAAAATGCTGTTTCTGTGCTCCGTGCTTGGCTTTTCGAACATTTCCTCCACCCGTAAGCGACCTATAAGGACCCATTTTATATACTGTTCTTAGATTCTTGAGGGGCCGATAAAAATGTTACCTTTGATTGTCTTTATATTGTTTCTCAAATTTTCAGGTACCCTAAAGACTCGGAAAAGAGCATGTTGGCAAGGCAGACAGGGTTAACCAGAAGCCAGGTATACAAGCCCAGCCCTCTCTATTTATAACAACGTTCATGGCCTTCAACCATAAACTTAAGCTTGTGGTTGATTTGATTCCTTGACATGGGATATATTAGAGCCTTGTTGACCCAGAGATCACGAGTTTGAATCTCATTGTCACCCACTATGAAAAAAACACTTAATGTCCACATTCTAAGCTCGAGCAGAACATTCTTGAGCCAGCATGAGTAAAAAATATTCTTGGGCCATTCAACACTAAGCTTTGTGGTTGACGAGGTTCCTTAACAAATGTCTTTCCAAATCAATGTCTTGCTAGGATTACATGTATGTTTGCAAGTCCTTATATCACCTAATCTTCATTAGCCTAATGAAGCACACGTACATCTCAGGTAGCAAACTGGTTCATAAATGCCAGAGTGCGACTATGGAAGCCGATGATCGAAGACATGTACAAGGAGGAGTTCGGCGACAATGATGATGAGGATGCAGCAGAAGGAAGAGACTTTTCCTCTAATTCTTCTCCCAAAAGGACAAAAGGAACAGCAAAGGACAACCCAGCATCCGACGGTGAAGGTAATGGTGTCCAACAACACACAACAACCTTATTCAACCAAACTGGCCATGAAGGTATTATCCAACCAAACAACATCCCCATGTTTGGGGGCGGCAATCAAGTGTCCCTCGCTCTTGGCTTGCAGCAAAACCAGAACGACGATGACAGTAAAGCAGATTACTACTACATGGACCAACAAGAAAGGTTTGCCAACTCCCACATATTACCAGATTTTGTTGTATGATAATGATAATAGTCTGCTTGTGTGGATCAATTTTTTCCTTTATTCCCTTCCCACCGGGAATAGAATATACTTTCTAAGCATGTATATAACAGCTATATATGTCTAGATAATCCATTTGTTGTGCAATACACAGTAAATAACGTCGGTGGAAGGCTAGGCTAGTTTTTTCAAGCGAAATTCGCATATTTTTTTTGCCAGTGAAAAAAATACTGTAATAATGTATAAAGTTTGCACATTCTTGAGACAAAGATTGCTCTTTTCATCAATGGTGGTACAGTGAGTCAATTCTTTCTGTATTACTACTATTGTTACAAACTTCAACTTGGAAATGGGTGATATACACCAAAATTGGAAGTGTCTTTTTGACATAAAACTCGCAGACAAGACAATATTCATTGACGCATTATGTATGTGACAGAATGCTCGTGAATATTGTCTAGTGTTTGCGAATTTGATGTTGGGACTGCGCAAAAGGCCTCATACTAATGGGGTTGGGTGAACCTATATATTTTGGTTTATTTACTCCTACTCATCCGGTGTGGGACTTGGAGGAATCCCAACATTTGACGTGTGGTGTTTGCGTTTCACTATAACATGATTGTTAATTGTGATTGCCTAAGCAGTGTCTTTCCAAACAGTTTGCATTTTCACTCCTCTCTTCAACACTTTTAGGCTCTAGCTACAACCAATCAGAGATATGGAAGAGTTGGTGAGAAAGAGTTCACAAAAATCATAAACTTGGCCATTGGTTACATTATATACAAATTTTTAAAACTATAATCCATTTATTTCATTTTATTACTCCGTATTTGTTTAAAAGACAATACAATTTTGATTTTTTGTTATAAAACATTGACATCTGCTATTTTAATTTTTCATTATCCAAAAAAATATTTATTGTTATTATTGCATTTAATGATCGCGATTGTGTTATAAAATTTTTCATTTTTTAAGTATTTCCCAAAGGAGGTTCCGAGGAGGAGAGAACACGTGTTCAATTCCAACATCACGTGACAATTTCCTTGGATCGTCTGCAAGCCTCATAGAGCGAATGACGATTAATCAGGTGCACACAAACTATAAGGCAGATGGAGAATGATTTGGAACCTCGTGACTTGCACCAAAAAACCAATATGCATATCACCATTTTAATTTTTTAATGTAAATAATTATTGGCAGATGGAGATAATTATTTTATTGTCTTAAAAAAAGTTATACTCCCTCCGTCTCAAATTTTTATAACATTTCAAACGTCGTGTGAAATGTCATCTGTTTTAAAATTATTCTATTTATAAATTGTTAGAAAATTAAAAATAAAAATTACACCATTCAAATGCACATCAAAAGTTCTACAAAATAAGATGCGACAAAAATATTTTATTTTATCAAATGATCAACCCAAATGAGTAAACAAACAAAAGTTATCGAGAGACTGAAATAATAATTGCAGCATTCTTTTTGGGACGGAGGGGTATAAGGTTTATAATTTTTTAAAAAGACAAAAGCTTTATGTAAAATTTTAAAAGTACTCACAATTTTTCCCCTTTTTAAAATTTTATCGTTATTAAAAGTATATTTTTTATTTTTTAAAAAATATACTATCTAATAATTTTAGAAACTAATATAGCACATACCATATATTTATTCGAAAATAAAAAAATTAAATATATTTTGATTCAAAATATAATTTTATCAAAATATTAAAAATTTTAGAATGTGTATGAGTCTGTGCAAAATATGAGATTAAAAGTACTTCAGAAATATACTGAAGTGAAATTAGCCTATGTGGAGTGAGTTTAGTTTTTTGATGGTGTGTAGCTATCGCCACCGAAATGTATGTATACAAATTTGAGAACTATATAATGTTCATTACATTTATACAAAATGTATATTTAATACTGAAATATATCACTCGTTTCCCACGAAATACTCACACTCGCTCTTGTAAGAACCATACATCATCTTCATCCTCAGACCACCGACAGACCTTCCAGACTACCACCATTGTGCCGTTGTGCAAAAGCTAACCACCACCAACGAGCCCTACACAATCCCTTCTTTATTGCCCTTCTGGCCTTCACAACCATTCAATCTCTCCAACTAGCGTTCCGACCCACCATGCTCTTTGGTGGTCGCGTCCTTCCGTATTCTTTGTTCTTTGATCACTGTAGACACAAGAAAAACATATAGTTGTACATGAAAACCCATATAGCCGAATGTATGATAGAAGTTGCATTTTGTACAATTGCATCTCGAGTTGTGCTAGGTCGACTCCACATTTTTTACACCATCACTGATCATATATTTTGCACAAACACACACAGATAATAGCTCTCAATGTGGCATCGACTGCCTATGCGTGTTTGTGCAAAAAATGATGAAATATAGGCAGAATATGATCCCCACAAGTTAAAATGAATTAAATAAAAAACAGCCACAACTTTATTAAAACTAACTCAAAAAGATTAACTAGCTTTGTTTGGAATTAAAAGAAATTTCACAAGTTTGTAGCTTTTTATTTTCTTAATAGTAAAGTTGCTTTCATTTGAATCAATAAAGGATAAAAATATCGAAAGACGGATGTTCCAATCTCTAAAGAATGAAAAAGAGATCAAGATTTGCGGCAAGTGTTAAGGGAGAGGAAAGATCAAGGAAGTATACTTCGTTTCGTAGTTCACGTCGTCTAATCTTCATCTTCAACGTAAGGTCTTGTATTATACCACAATGATCATTAAAAAATCTATAAGTACTGTCACAAACAAGACGACGAATAGAGATTAAATGACAACTCAAATTGGAGATAAACAACACATTAGTGATGAACTGATTATAATACGCAATTGCATTTTGACCATTCTACCTCAAAGCATTCAACTCATATTTCAGATTAAATAGGGGGACTACTAGAACAACAATATCACTTCTTCAAATTATCTCATAATTCAAACGTAATAGTATGAGAAATAATAATAGGCGTAATTGATTCATCAACATTGTTAAACATCTAGTTGCATATGATTTGATGATTAACATACCATGCAGACATCTCGTGTTCATCACTAGGTTTGAGAACCCCCACGGAAGAGAAAAAATGGATATACCTTGTCCACCGAATGCATTATGAATCGGCTTTTTCCAAGTATCAAAGTTGTCCTTTTTGAGAAGATATGTAGTTAAGGAATTACTATGGCTTTAGATGGATGGAGATAGTATATTGAAGATAGATCGTGGATCAATCTTGCCTTCTTAGGGTTTTCATTTGCGTTTGACATGATGGACTAACGTTTACTGACGTAGGTTATCGATGCGAAGAAGATGATGGAACGTTGACGACGTCACAGTGACGACAGTCTGACTTCGGCTGGCCAAACTAACCGAGACGCACCAACAAGGTGGTGCAAGTGTTTACGTGACTAACCCTGAATTTGCTCTGATACCATGTTGATACTAAGACTACACACACACATATCAAGTTCTCAATTTATATGAATGTTCATTCAACCCCACTTTATTTTAGTAGAGGCTTAGAGATTGTTTAGTAAGTTTTGAGATATGATAAAATATGAGTTATCAAATATGAGAAAGTGATAAGAGTTTCAAAATTTGAAACAAAGTTGTTTAGAGAGATTTAAAATCATGATTTAATTAGTGGTAAGTGGGAGTGACCGAGAACGTAGGTGGTTGACGGTGAGATCTGGTGACGGAGAATGATTGAGAGATATTATTAAACTTTCATATTAATATCATTTGAATTTGGAAAATATCGAAACTTCCATTTAAAAAATTTATGATATCTGGAAAATCCACGATTTCTTTCCCAAAATCATTTTTTTGGCTAGTGTTAGGCGCGAATAGTTATTATCCCCAAAAATCTCCGCTAACCTTCTTGCCTAATACTGTAGTTAGCACCTCATTAACCCCTCTTCATCTTCCTCCTCTCTCACTTGCTCTTAGGCCGTTCCTTCCTCCCTTCAACTGCTTCACTGGACTGCGGTGCCTAGACGACTCCCCCCCCCCCCCTCTCTCTCTCTCTTCTGGGCAGGTTTGTTCTATATTGTTTTAATACTTTTGTTACTGAGCTAGCCCTAACTAGAAGACCATTGATGAAGGAGTTTTATCCTCTGTATATGCTGTTTTTCTGGGAAAATTTCAGTGTTTCTTTTGAAAGGTTTGATTTTTAAAACCTCCCTATAATCTTATAACTATTTTTTTCCCTTAATTGGTGTTTAGCTCATTTTATTCTTTCTTCCTCTTCATCTTCTATTTCTCTGTCTCTACCATCTAGTTTCCGCCAGCATCCGATGCTTTCTAGTTTTTTCATTCAGATTTCTTCCTTTTTTCATCTAATGCCTTGTTGTCCCTTTATTCTTTATGAGGCGCCCCCTCAGANTTTTGGGCCCTTAATAACTATGGTATAATAGAAATATTATGGTTTATGGGTGTAATTGCATTCAGTTATTTACTTTGAATTATCAAGATTACATTGACTTCATCAAAATTATTTATAATTCTGTTTATACAGTTGAAGTTTATATCTAACTCTTCTATTATGTTAATGTTGGCTGGGTTGCCGGCATGGAATTTCTGATTTTGTCGCTGCTTCTCTGGAAGAGTAGATAACTGAGCTGCTTTGGCTCGGGTTTGGTTTAACTTCCAGTTTGATCATGTTCTATTATTAAGAGGATCCCATTTCTCTTTCTTCTGATCGGCATCTCCACAATTTTCCACATCCATAGTAGACGTCACTGCAATATGTTCACGTAAGTGCAGAAAATTCTGTCTGTTTTCATTTTTAAGTTGGCCAGTCTTTTGTTTATTATGTAAGTTGTGAACTATGATTCAATCAATGCCATTTGCCTACATTTTTTTTAATTTCACTTAAAGAAATGAACTGATCATACACTTTACTGTATGCACACTTCTTGCGTATGATATGGAGCCACTAACTTGATCTGAAAGATTCCATTTTTATTTTTACAGAAGTGAATCTTTAATTTGTTGAACCGGTGCGTGCTTCTCTGGAAGAGTAGATAACTGAGCTGCTTTGGCTCGGGTTTGGTTTAACTTCCAGTTTGATCATGTTCTATTATTAAGAGGATCCCATTTCTCTTTCTTCTGATCGGCATCTCCACAATTTTCCACATCTATAGTAGACGTCACTGCAATATGTTCACGTAAGTGCAGAAAATTCTGTCTGTTTTCATTTTTAATTTGGCCAGTCTTTTGTTTATTATGTAAGTTGTGAACTATGATTCAATCAATGCCATTTGCCTACATTTTTTTTAATTTCACTTAAAGAAATGAACTGATCATACACTTTACTGTATGCACACTTCTTGCGTAGGATATGGAGCCACTAACTTGATCTGAAAGATTCCATTTTTATTTTTACAGAAGTGAATCTTTAGTTTGTTGAACCGGTGCGTGCTTCCAATTTTTATTTACTCCCTCAGCCCCAAAAAACGACTCCTCATTTCCTTTTCGGGATGTCCCAAAAAAGACACATCTTTCCAGTTTTGGAAAGCTTTTTGTGGCTCACAATCTTTCTCTCGTGTGTATCACTTTAAACCACACAATTTTACTTTTCTTAAACATTGTGCCAAACCAAACGAGGAACCTTATTTTGGGATGGAGGGAGTATTGCTTTCTTGCCTTGAGAACATAGTTTGTATGGCGTCGCCTAGGCGATAAGGCGCTGTCATTGGGACGCCTTGTTTGCTCGCCTTGCCTAGAAAAGAAAAGTAGAAAACCTTAAGGCGACCAGGCGCTCGCCTTGGCGTCGCCTTTCCTCGCCTTGATGCCTTGGGCCCATTTAAAATTTTGAAAAAACCCATTTTTTAGTGCAGCCCATTTTCTTTTATTATAGACTTAAACTTATCTTCTCTCTCTCTCTCTCGGTCTTCTTTGTCTTGATCAAGCTTCCTTAAAATGTACAGTATAAGACACACACACACACACACACACACACACACACACACACACACACATATATATATTTGTCGCCTAGTCGTCGCTTAGGCGTGCGCCTGGTCGCCTAGGCGATATGAAGGTACATTGGCGCCTCGCCTCGGCGCATTACAAACTATGCTTGAGAAGTTTAAGATTTGCCAGTTCTTGAGGATTCAGGGTTGACCAATAGCAAATGTTACTCCATCTCTTTTCAGCCTGTTTTGATTTCCCCCTTTTATGCAATAGGGAATTCTGGAGAAGGCACAAGAAGAAAGTTTATGTTACCTTTGGAGTCATTAGTAGTGGGTTTCTATTGTATAAGCTATATGATGGGCACAGGCGACGGATATCTGAACTGGAGAAAGAACTGGAGGCTGATAAGAAGACTGATGAACTAATTAGGGCCCAGTTAATATATTTTTATTATAAAAATTCTCATTTCTGATTGTTGTGTACACTTTGAGTTACTGACTCATTGATGGTGATTCTCTTAACTTAATAGAATGAAAGAACATTTCGAGAGCATTCAAATGGTAGCATATTCTACAACATTACCCCATGTAATGCGGCATTTAAGCAATCAAATAGCAGAACAGTTGGACCTCATGCAGCTGACTGAGAAGTTAATGAAAGGGAAGGATCAACCAAATACCCTTACAGCTACAGAGAAGCTTGAGCTATGGGATAGACTTAAAATATTGAGTATGGACTGGCAATGAACCTATCACTTACCCATTCTCTATGTGCCAATGTGTGCATTATTTTATTATATTGCACAAGATATGTCATTCCACGTGCTGATTTTTTTTCTTTATATTGTGTCTTTTTTAGGTTTCACAAGAATGGTGCTATCTCTCTGGTCTATGACAACACTGAACTTGTACATTAGGGTTCAAGTCAATATATTAGGGAGACATTTGTATATTGACACTGCACGTGGCTTAGAAAGTTCCTACCAAAGTGTAAGAATCACTACTAATATAAACTGGTTACCACACAGTAACTTTTTTATAATCCCTATCTTTTATCCTTATTCTGAAATTCATTAATTAGGATCTATGTATGTGTATTTTATTCGGATTGGTTTACTTATTCTTAAGCAAGTCCCTCTTGGACTAAAATTGGGCACCAACCTACGTTTGCTCAAAATGGTTTTCCTTTCACTCCGAAACATCAAAATATTTATGGAGCAATGTCGAGTTCACCTTAGTTTTTCTTTAAAAAGTGAGGGAAATTCAAAATGTGACTAGGGTATTTTTTTAATATCAACCAAATATGTATTTTTGCTTTATTTTCTCTTCATTTTGGCTTTCCCGTCTGTTTTCCTCTGCCTTCAAAACTATGGGATCATGTCATCACTGCTGTTCATTTTACCCCGAAAACAACTAAAGCAACTTTAGTGGGAAGGGAAAGATTGAGTAATGGTGATGTGGAATAGGGTAAAGTGGGGGGATGGTTAGAGTAAGGTGAGGAAAAGAAGTGAGAGAATGGGAGGGGAGAAAGCAGATGCACCGGGGAAAGAGGGAAGGAAGAGAGGAGAGAAAAAATGAGGAGGGAAAAAGGAAAAAAGAAAAGAAAAAAGGGAAAAAAATAATAATTTTTGTACAATGGTATTATTTTACAATGATTAATTTCTTTATTTTATCTAATTTTTTTGGTTGCATGGAGTATATATTTTAAAAAATTAAAATACACTTTGTAAAAGAATAGTTTGCTGTTAATTTTAGAACTTTTTAGTACTCCACTTTTATAAATTTAAGTTTATGAAATTTATTTTCTTACTAAAATTAAAATGTACTCCCTCCGTCCCAAATTACAGTGCATGTTCACTATTCAAATGGTCAAACTTTATTCAATTTCTTTAACTATTCGCTTCTTATTTAATACAGGCTAAAATAATATAATCGTGTCACCTCTTCCTGTGTCGAAGAACTTTTGGTGTATTTTTTAAATATTTAGTTTTTATTTTTTAGTTCCACCCCAATCTTCAAATAAATTAAATTAAAAATAATTTCATCTCAAACCGGAGCATGCACTATAAATTAGGACAGATGGAGTATAAATCTATTTTTTTCATAAATCATTTTGATTAGTTATTTTAAAAATCATATTAAAATTTGTTTTAGCATGAGAGACCCACCATCTAAAAAGAAAGAAGGAAAGATGAGAGGAAACACTAAAGTTGCGAGGGGAATATTAAAGGGGAAAGTGATGTGGTATGAGAAATAAAATACTCCGTAAGAGAGGAGGGGAAAGTTATAGGAAGGGTTAAAGTTGCTCTAATAAAGTAACAATCCTCTGTTTTGTTGCCAAAATCTTCCATGGTATTTGCCTTTGCTGTTAAATAACTTCATGGTCCCCAACTGTGTGCGAGTTGATGCTTCCATTCATTCATATGATTAATTTTATGTAATTTCTTTTGGATTGTAATGAATATACATTGTTCTTGCTACACTAGCGGTGTGAAGATTTATTGCTAATATGTGTTAGTATGTGAAAGGGTTGAGGAAAAAATGATAGATGGAAACTAGGATTGGGTAGTGGTTTGAGAGAAGATATGGACTGTTGTTTTGTAGGAAGGAAGATAGAGATGAGCAAAGGGGCATGTTCCTCTGTGCAGTGTAGTGAGGGGCAACAATATTTTTTGTTTCTTTCCTCGCTATAAATTTGACGCTGACTACCCCCAACTAGTTGGGTTTATGGTACTGGCAATGATACAATAATTTTCTAAGACATGTATTATTTGTGTCAAATTGAGTAAGGACTTGAGATGTTATCACTTGTCAACAGAGTTAAATATAACGGTAATGCAGACACAAGACACATATGTTTTGTTCACAACTAATACTCTGTATTTCTAAACACAAGTTTAATACTTCTACTAGAAATAAAACTTCATCGGTTTCATACCAAGTGTTTTTTGGTTAAAGAAGTGTTTCTCTGTTTGCGGTTTCATGAAATTGAGATTTTTATACCAGTTCTTCATTTTCTCCCTTTCACCAATTTTCAATTAAAGAAGCTTCTAATATTCCAGAGATGTATAATTAGGGTACAATATCACTATTTTGTAAGATTCTATGATATTTAGTGAGTTTTTTAATCTGTCTAACTTTGACATTACTTAATATGAAACAGAAGGTGAAACACTTGGCAATCTTTCTATATAATGGTTAGAAGTACTCATTTACGGAGTATTTTTTACACAAAACTTCACGTTCTTTCAGTTATTGAAAAAATATACAAAACCCAACAATGTACTCCATAATAAAATGGTGTGCTATCATAAAAGGCTATATAGCAGCATCTGTCTTTAGATACTATTTAAGGAATTTGTTTGTTAAAAATTTAAGGTCAATGGCTCAAAAGTCAACTAACTCTGATCATAAGTTGGAGAAGTAAAATTCATCCATTTAGAGACAAATTTGGTCATTTGGTGGTGGCTAAAATTTGAAGATGTGGGTTTTAGTTGGATATTGACAATGTTTGGGATTTTGATTTTTTTTAGCTCTTGATTTTGGCATATTGAATTTCAGCCTTAGTTATTCTACTGAAGTACTTAAAAAATGTTGACCTGAACAATGCTCCTGGATTCAAGGCAAACCCATTCATCTCTTTGTGTTTATTTAATGCAGTGATATTGTTACTCAAAGAGATTAAAGACAATTGTTGGCAATCGTTACTACCCTACATTAGTTATATTCTGTGCAAGAAAACCTTTGTTTTGAAGACCAATTATCATAAACATCAAAACTCATACCTACATGCCACTCCAAAGCAAGTCTTCACTGATATTGATTTGTATGTTAAAAGCCATATTTGTTGTTAACTGCAGGAGGAGGCTGATCTAATTTACAAAGATGAGCAGAAACTGTTTTTATCCACTGCTGATTATCTTGCCAACTATGGTTTGATTACCTTAGTTTCAAAATTTGAGGCTGCAACTTCTGAAGTCATCAAAGGGTTGGTGTCTTTAAGCCTTTTGTTTCCCCCCCTCTATTGCATTTCTTGTGTGAAAAAAACATGTGATATATTCATCTAGAAGTCAAGTAAAATCCATAGTTACAATTTCGCAGATAGCCTTTGTGCATGCAGTATTGTTGCTGTTCTTTTTCTCTCTTATATTTAGTGACTTCATCATCCCTAAAATATTTTCCTCACAATTCTTCTCTTATTTGCAGTAAACAGCTAAAGGATGTATTCAGCTCTACTGTCCTTCACGATACCATTATGCAGATATTGGACAATTTCATGAGCATGGGAAGCCCTCAACATTGGTTGGGCTATTTGATTCCAGAGGACCCTAAGATGTACAGTCTTGCGGCAGCTTCTCCTCACAGTGAAATAACAGACACGTTTCGTCCTTCTAGTTTTGAACAACTCATGCTCGAGACACGTGCTGTGATATCTAGGTACTTATTATGCTTTCCTCGTTCTGCAGTGAAACTTCATTTGGGTAATTTGAGGTTGCTATTTTTATTAAGTTGTCGTCTTTTAGCTGACATTTTTTTAAAAAAATCTTAGGGGATTTCTACTTTGTTCTTTAGTTATTTAGTCGAGATCTCATTTCGTGCATTTTTCATGTTATTCCGGGAGCAGTGCTGAATTCGGGAACATAGTCGAGACATCAATGAAGGCAGGGGTTGATGAAATGGTGAAGAACATAAGTGCACAATGCGGAGAAGCGAATTTGATTGCAGGAATGCCATTAGCCAAACTTCTGCCAAGGCTGGCTCATCTCAGTCAGCAGTTACTTGATGAAGAACCCAACAACAACAGGTATATCCAAGTCATCCAGAACTTGCCGGACGTTGAATTGTTCTTCACTCTCTTATATTCTACCACTCCTGTCTCTTAGGAGGGGCTTATTTGGTTCAGTTTCTGGTTTTGACTGATTCTTATACTTAGAATCACCGGTCTGATTTTCTTTGCTGCTAGTAGAGAATCAAACACCGGATTGGTTCCGAAAATCAGATTCTGCCGATTTGTCTTGTTGATTCTGAACACAAAGTCAAGTGATTCTAGTGGAATTTGTGAATCAGAATCAGCAAAATGAACCTAAAAATCTCAACCAAATGAGGTTGGTTTTTTTTAATTTTTTTTATATACGTTCGTTGTTCAGCGGTCTTTGGATGTAAAGAATTATAGGGGTTTTGGCTTCCCTTTTAATAATTCAAAACACCAAGGATATGATAAGATTTGGGTTAATTTGTTGCTTTTATTCCTTTTGTAGTCCAACATTTATTTGTAATGGGCATTCTACAAGATGAGTGCCTTTTTAAAAAAAAATTATTTTGTTTTTCATGTTAAGTGCACTAAATCAAATTTTATTATTGGGTGAGACTAAGTTGTTATCATCTTTATTTTAAACACTCCTGGGTATATATAATGACACTCCATCCATCTTGAATTAAATTTCATATTTGCCTTTTCTTTTATAGACATTGAGAAGAAAATGTGAAGTCGTGGGGTTGTGATTTTTGACGAGGGGTGAAGAAGAATGTGATCCATTCAAATGCTTAATGAAAAGTTTACATGGAAATGAATCAAAAAATTGGAATTTTACTTTGAGAGGGAATGATTGTAATTAAAGACAATGAACACTCGATTAAGAAAGGCTTATCATGATATTTTAGAAGTAAGTTTAACTAATTATAAAAAGATAATATTCCAACATGCTTGCCTTAAAGTATAATCAAAGAGAACCTCTTATTAAAAAAGGTATGATCAAAGAGAAATGAGGAGTATTTGTTACAATCTCGTTCTAATTTAAATCGTCTCTTTTGATTGACGATAAATTGTTTTCAATACAATTTATTTGAGAATTGTAGTTGAATTTAACAAAAATAGAATTTATATTTTAACTACTACATCGAATGCTCTACTAAATAAGAGGTGACATGATCATATTATTTTATCAAATAAATAACAAAAATAGGGAAAAAAAGGTGGATGTAATTTGACCTTCTGAATAGTAAACAAATAACTTAACTTAAAATGAAGGAAAACTAGTTAGTACTCCTTTCATTCCAAATTAAATTATTTGTTTACTATTTACATGGTCAAATTCTATTCACTTTATTTTCCTGTTTCGTAGAACTTTTTGTCTAGTCTTTTTAATATGGAAATTTCATTTTTCAATTCTGCTCCAATTCTCAAAATTGGGACGGAGAGAGTAACATATACGCCCTCAGTGCTTGTATTAAGAGCGAAAGAAATTGAAAAAAATTAGATTTTGTGATTGATATTTATGAAAAAAGTAGGAAGATGTTATAGTCACAAACAGTTTGGTTACAAAATGTACAAACTTGCCATTTGTATATTTAAATGTTTACTTTTAATTACTACTTAACATCATTTTATTTACTTGATGAGATGCACAAATGAAAAATTTGTTTATTTTGTGATCAAAGTATTTGTAACTTTAACATTTCTAAAAAAGGTAAAACAAAATACTAAAAGATTATGGGTAGTTAGAAAGGAAAAGAAAAGCCATGAAAACATGAGGTAAAAATAGTACTCGTATGATTTTCCTTTGATTCTTGCAAGAAAATTAGGGAATGACCAATCTCTTTATGGTTTCTCTTATTTTCTTCTCCTTGATTCAACACTTTCTAATAAAATAATAGTCTTCCCATCCCTATTTTGATTACAAGAGATTATAAGAATATTTTATTTTATTAAATAATTAAAGAAAATGTATAAATAAATAAAAGTTATCGTGATTTTAAAATACTTAACACTGTAATCAATTCTGCAACGCAGGTAATCTCCCTCTCTCATAAAGATTTGATTACTCCGTATTTATTAGTCTCTCCGTCCCAGGACTGAAGTTATTTTCAAATTATTTTATATGAAAATCGATATAAAATTAAAAAATAAAAATTAAATATTTAAAAACTACATTAAAAAATCTACAATACAAAACTAGTAGTGACATGAATATATTATTTTTATCAAATCACTAACGAAAAATATGGAAAGAAAATGAATGAACTTTAACGGTATAAATAGTAAACATGAACTTTAATTTAGGACGGAGGGACAATTAGAGTATCAAATTTCCATCACGTTCTTTTTTTAATTTCATTACTCATTTGATAAATACGATTAAATTGATTTCATTAGATTTTTCAATTTTTTTTAAAGAATTGTTTTGTTGCATTAACTTACAATGCAATTTTATTTTAATTGAATTTATTGGCAATAAAAATTAATCATAATGTGAGATTCACTTGATTAATTGAAAAATCAAAAGAGAAATTTACTTAAATAGCACTAAAACATAATGATTTTCTCTAAATAATAACATTATACTCTCTATGTATGTTTTTATTTCTCAATTTAGCACTTTTAGTCATTATTCAAGAAATGGTTAATGTTATTGGACATTATTCTTCTTTCTAAACATTATTAACTATTATTTAGCAAATAAAAAAGTTTAAATCGGAAAATGATTTAATTTTTAGGGGTACAAATATTTCAAATCAGAATGAATGAATACCACTGTTGCAAGCTCTGGTTCATTGTTTTCTGGGCTTCTTATCTTATCTGATTATCCATTAATTCTTCATCTTCCATAACAAGCTCTGATCATGAGTTTATGCTTCCTCTGCTCAAACTTAACGCCTTCAATTTCGCTCACCCAGCCCGATTTCCGATGGGTTCCCAGGCCTCTCCGGCAGGTCCGATCCGTCCACCCGGGGCGAACAAAGCACGTTTCTCCTGGTTTTCTCAGAGCTTTTGAAGATGGAATCGGAATCTTATCTCCGGACGATTCGGTTCCCGTTCGCAACCCTGTGATCGAGGCCGGCAGTGAAGACGAAGTTGCTGATCATCTAGAAGGGTTCAATGTAGATGATCCAAGTGTCGAAGCAGAAGAAAATGCTCAAAGGCCTGCGTTGAAGAGAACTGGCGAGGTTAGTTTTTCAAAGTTTTCATATTTACTTCAAAATCTACTCAATCTTTTTGCTCCAAGGATGAATTGGATGTTTTCAAATTTCCATGGGGAAGCAAAATAATGGCATCATGCGTGCACCACTTATTGGCTAAATCGTGAAAAGTCTAGGGTTTTGAGGAAAAAGCCTACTTAATAGGAGTTGCCTGCAAAAGCAGCAGGGATGATTCATTTGACATTGAGGAATCACTGAAAGAGCTGGCTCAACTGGCTGACACAGCTGGACTAGTGGTTGTTGGCTCTACATTTCAAAAGTGAGTTTGAACTTGAATCTTCTCCCAATTCACTTTTTTAGCAAATGGGAAGAGGGCTCACATTCTGGAGATTCTGTTAATTGCTTGATTCGTTGTGGTTTGATACTTTGATACATAGTTGGAGTGATTCCACGGCAACACAAATTTATCGTTCTTACTCTATAAGTAGAAGATGGCGATTGAGATTAAAGTGATGTGTCTTGACACACGTTTTTGAATATTGTTGGTTGGTTTGATTGCAGTGCAAACTTTGTCTGCTTATTCCTTCTCATTTTGCAGACTATCCACTCCGAATCCTAGGACGTATATAGGATTTGGCAAAGTGGCAGAAGTAAAGAGTGCAATCCGTGCCTTTGGAGTTGAGACTGTAATATTTGATGATGAACTTTCACCGGGGTTTGTTCTAATTCATTTCAATTCTTGTATGAATATTTGTATGTAGACATCCTGAAAGAACTCTTACCAGACTAGATAGATTCTAAATATGATAAGTAAAGGAATTTTCTTGTGTTCCATTTTACCACATAAAATGCAAGGGGAAATGAGATATGATTGATGTTTTTCAAAATTTTAACATATGTGTCTAGATCTCATAGTCTTTGTATAACAGAAATAAACAATTAAGATGGGGTTGAACTAATACAACAACAAACCCAATAAAATCTCAGGGTGGGGTCTATGGACGGTGTGTGTACATAGACCATACTCCAACTTGGCAAGTAGGGGTCGAACAAATCCTATCCTATATATATATATATATATATATGTAAAGTTGAGTGTGTTGGTTGTGGTGTTGACATGTGGCATGTCACATGTGCATCCACATGTGCACTAAATAATGAGGTGGAGGCATTTCATTGGTTCATTAAACTTCTTTTTTCAAAAGATCTTTTAATATATTTTATTGTATTATATTAAATGAATATTATTTTTTAGCATTAAAAAACATTACTTTGATTATATTTTGTATAAAACTTTAACATTTTCTAACAATTCTATAAGCATATATATCACCATTGTAAAATATACTCCGTATTTTAAATATGTATATTGATTGTAAAATTTTGAAGAAGAGTATGTATAAGACTCTTTATTATTAATTTAAAAATATTTCACTTTCAGAAAAATGAAAAAACATTTCACTTCAAAGTTATTAAATTAATTTTGGCAATTTTATGTTTTATTTAATGTTATATTTTTTAAATAAAATAGTTATAGAATTTTTAGTGCATGTACATCAATATTTAAATCATACTCCGTACTTCTTATTTAAAAAATATAATCTGTGTACATCTTACTGTGAAAAAATATTCATCTAAAATAAACAAAATTATATTTATAGAATGTCAAAAGTTTAGAATGTATATGAGCCCGTGCGAAGCACATGGTTAACACTAGTAGAAAAATAAATAAATTAGTACTCCGTAAGTGTGAACCAATGTTTTATCCCCCCCTTCTCTCTCTCTCTCTCCCATCATCACATTTTATTTACTTCATAATCTCCCCTTTATGTCCCTCTCTTTATTCATTCCCTAACGATTTGTGTGTTCCGATAAGACCCAAAAAGTATCTTCATTTTCCATAGTATGTGAGGGTTTTGAGTTCTAATGTATGATCATTTCCGGTTTTATATATACCTGATAGTGTGATGATACCCCTTGTTTCATTCCAATCTTTTCCTCATAAGATTTAAGGGATATGGATTTTTATCAACCATATTCATGTATCATGCTCCACATTTTAGGCAGTTGCGTAACTTGGAGAAATCTCTTGGAGGAGATGTCAGAGTGTGTGACCGCACTGCTCTCATACTGGATATATTTAACCAACGTGCAGCCAGCCGTGAAGCTGCTTTGCAGGTAACCCTTTTTTATGGTTAATTGTAGTCATGCATCAATCTGCAGTCTTTTAGCCTGACAATTTGAAAAATATCCAGGTTTCACTAGCACAAATGGAGTACCAGTTACCACGGCTAACAAGAATGTGGACTCACCTTG